TCAGCAGAGGCTATTTGAGACGCTTGGTCGTATGGGGGCATTTCGTGAGGTGCAAGGGCAGGGTGACCAGCCGCAACCCTAAACACCCATCCCCAACCATACTGAGGCCTTGGGAGGCATGTGATCGGATGATCGCATTGATAATCGTGAAGGTGAGCGAGCGGTTTTTTAAACGATTATGCCGGTGTTCGGAGATTTTAAAGCTAAGGTGCAGTGCGCAGGTTGTCTTTGTGCATGTCCATCACACCGCCAATGTAGTCTTCTGATGGATCTTGAATTTTTTACACATCAGTGTATAATAAATAGTAGAAGGGATGCGCTTTTCTCTGCGAGGATATACAAGTAACTCCGAGTCCTTCAAGGTGGGTGGGTGGGAGATCTGGGAANAGTCACCCTTCGCATACACTTCGCAGTGGTTTAGTCGCTGTCATCGGAGTGCTTTGAACCTTGTGATCCAAAGCTCGAGCATCGCCGAACAACTTTGGTGGTAGACAGCTCTGCTGTCATCCGGTTCAATACTATACCTGACCTAGTGGGGCCTTATACGGTTCGCCAGTCTAAATCCCGGATACTGAACAGCAGGTCTGCGTAACTATGGGGTCCGTTGTTCATCATACACTGATGTTCAATAAAAAGGAATGCTGCTTCGTGTGTATTTCACGCCCAGCAAATCTTGGTACATTAATTCTTATTAAAAAGAAAGATCAATAATTCATTAGGGGTCAGAGTACCCAAAACTAAGTAGGTGGGTTTTGTTGGGGAATTCACAACCGCAGCCTGACAAAAAAGCAGTGAGGTTTTGAAAACCATAATGCATTGGGGACCGGTGTTCAGTGCATTGTACCGTACGCCATTTGGTCGGGGTAAAATGCCCAATACACCTCGATGCCCCATTGAGTCGGTGACCACTGCCGCAACCAAGATGTAGTTGAATTTGGTTCGTAAACCTCTTGTTGGTTGGTTTGTAATAGGGGCCTATGGGCAACTCCCCTAGGCGAACTGCTGGTGGTTTATAGACCCGGATTTTGTATTTTCGATCTCTCATTTTGGTGGGAAAATACCTCCGCCACATGAAACAGTACGAATGGCTTGCACAGCAGAGGCTGTTTGAGGAACTTGGTTGCATGGGAGCATTAAGCGAGGTGCGAGAGAAGGATGACCAGTCACAACCTAAGACACCCATTCGCGCTCGTGGTTTGTTTAGCACAGTCTAGAATCCGATGTGTTCGAGATACAACAATAATAATATATGACAATCGCGTACGATAATGAACAAGCATGAACGGGACTTCGAATAGTGAATCACACCTGGCACAAATCGGTTAAGGTTC